GTTTGTTGGAGCATTTACGTTAAAATATCGTTTTTGTTTTTCCCGCGGATTACGCATTTTTCAGTCTGTTTGATCAAGTAACCTTTTTTTTTTTTTTTTTTTTTTTTTTTTTTTTTTAAATCACATATATTAATCGATTTCGAACGTATTATTAAAATCCATCCAATTTTTACAAAGCTTTTTACACGTATATGTAATGACAATAACATTGAAACCAATGCAAGCACTTTTATCGTCGAAATGAGAGAAACTGCATACATTTTGCAAAACATAACTGACAACAGTTTAGTTATTATAGATGAACTCGGAAGAGGTGAAAACAAGTTCAAATAATAAAATTTCATTATTTCAAAAAAGTTATTAATATAAATTTAAAAATTACAAGGAACGTCGACGCACGATGGATCAGGTATAGCGTATGCTATTTGTGAAGAGCTTTTAAAGACCAAGGTAAAAAATGACAGAATTGCTGAATATTGTTATATTTATATTTAAGTTATTAAATAACATTTTTTGGAGTAGGCATTCATTTTCTTTGCCACACATTTTCACGAACTCACAAGAAGTTTAACTGTCTACCCTAATGTAGTAAACTTGCATTTAGAAGTCGAAGTAATTAATGTTTCTGAATAGTTGTAGAATTGGTTAATAATTTGATTATTAAACTGTATTGTTATAAACGAATAGCTTGGTGAAGATAACGGACCAATGGCAATGAAATATTTGTATAAAGTAAAAGATGGGAGAAATGATGATGAACATTATGGTATGTCTTTCAATTTTTATTTATTTATTATAGATTACGAAATGATTTTATATATGCCTATATTTCAGGGTTGAAGTTTGGGCAAATTGTTGGGTTACCTGATGACATAATTCAAAAAGCTACCGAAGTTTCATATAAGGTTTGAATTCAAATCATCAAGTTTTGTGGTAACTTACATCATGAACGAATAATTAATTTGTGCTATATTATATTTCAAGTTGAAGAATCTCATAGATGCTAATAAGGAGAAATCGGCTTCAAATAAGATAGTTCAACGTAGAAAGGCATTACTTCAAGTATATAAACTTTATTCCGAGTATATAAATTTACCATTAATAATTAATTGTACCAATATTCCTGCTTACTAAAATTTCAATATAGCTATCTCAACACCTATTGCAAATTAAAAGATCCTCTAACTTGGATCAAGATGGTCTAAGAAGGTACCTTAAAATGGTTCAAGAAGAATTTATCATCAGAATGGAAGAATTAATGTAATGAATTAAGTGTTTGACCATTGAACAGCATTACATAATACTGTACGCACGTACGCAGTTGAAAATTACAATTATTATTAATTGATATCCAAAAATTGGAATATATTAAAAATCATGCCATCATCTTGACAATTATTAAATCGGAGTGAATGAATGATGATGAAATCAATACGTATTAATTCGGTAAAGATACGCATATAGGTGGTTACCAAGTTTAGTAAAAGTGTAAAAGAATTTTTTTTTTTTTTTGTGTATCCATCAAGTTTGCACATGAATATATTCTCCCCGAGCATAAAATTATCCGAATCAATTATTTAAAATTTAAAATTTCTGTATTTTTACTCATAACTACTTAAAAGATGTCACAAAATTTACGTAAAGAAGCAGCTACTCGGGCATCTCGACGTGCGAGTAGTAATGCTGGACCACCACTAGCTTTTAATTTTACTGGCGGTACGCCCCTGAGTAGTCGTCACAATACTGACGAAGAAGACATGTGGAGTGAAACTTCAGCAGACACCGTCGATTCATGGACTTCTACTGGCAGTAAGAATGCTGAAGATGGAATTTTGGAAGAAGTAAATTGGGAAGACGAAGTTTTACAGACTATTGAGGATTTAGGAGAAAAAAGAACAAGGTATCGTATTATTCGTATTACGGTTTCCGGAATTGGAGCAATCTAAAACTTTATAATTTTTATTTAAAAATTTTGATAATTTTCAAATAGTACAAGAGAAGGATCTTTAACAAAGTTGATCCGCTTCCTCTCTCATAAGTATGCTGCAGATCTCCTCAGTACTAGGCGGGATACTTTACTTGATCTTTTGTGCCGCTCTATTAGGAAGGATAAAAGTTACAAAGAAAGTCGATTAGCTGCTAAAGGTTCGTAAGTGAAAAAAATATATCTATATATACTTTATTTGACGTCAAAATGCTAGAAATTTATATTAAATTTACTTATTATTAAAATTAGTGATGTCTTTACTTTTTATTACTATTGGTGAAAGCGAAGAAACTATGTATCATAATGTATTATCTTTATTAAAATATACAACAACAAATAATGCATCAAAGGAAGTCAAGTGTGCAGTAAGTACATAATTTTATAACAAATATTGATATATTGGTTGTGGTAATTGTATCAGACATTTTATAAACGTAGATCAGAGAGGAGGATCCATTTAGTTTACGAATAATGGATATAATTATTTTACATGTTAATATTTTAATATTTTTGTTTTCAATATATAGTGTATTCAGACGTTGAGTCTAACTTGCTTTATTGCAGCTCAATACGCTGATGCCATAGAGCTTCTCGACTTTTTTAACGAAATTATATTGACTAATGGTAAAAGCGTTAATGCGAATAATGAAGGAGGTGTCATAGAAAGCGCTTTAAATGCCTACGGCCTACTGTTTTCTGGGCTATGGGGTGATAGCAAAAGAGGATCAGATAAAGCCAGAGAAGAATTTGAACGTATTATGCCAAGTCTTATTAAACAGCTTGAATCCAGTACTATGGAGGTTCGCGTTGCTAGTGGTGAAATTATTGCGCTGATGTTTGAATCTTTAGGAATTGGAAAAGAAAGTGGCACAGTGGAGAATTGGGGTCAATCACAAGATGATGTAAGTGATTTTACTTTATTTATATATTGAAATTTATTATATCCTTTTTTTACTATTATCGATGCGTTATTAGTATGATGAAGATGAAGTTGATTACGATGATATGGAACATTTAACTCAACTCTTGAACGCGTTAGCCACAGATAGTAATCGCCATCGTGCGAAAGCTGAACGTAAGGTTCAGAGGTCCGTGTTTCGAGATGTACTCAAAACTGTAGAGGTTGGTGTCATTTATTGGCTTATATGTTTGTCCATAATTTAGGATAACAAAATTGTGTATTATTTTACAACGCATTATTGAATTATTTGCATTGAATTTTCGTAGTGCGGAGATCGCGTCCAAGAGCGGCTCAAGATTAAGAAACAAACAATATACTTTTCTAGTTGGGCAAAGATTCTTCAATTAAATGCTTTTCGGGAAATATTATCTGAAGGATTGCACGTACATTTTCAGGAAAATGAATTGCTCCAAGCAATCTTTGAATTCGTGCCACCTCCTACCTTGGTTTCCAATCGACTCAGACCTGACTCAGCGTTAAGCTTTCATACTACAGGATCCGATACAGACAGTTCGGTAACAAATAAGAGAAGGAATAAAAAGTTGAAGGGTAGAAAACTTGGTAAAAGGAAAGGTGATCTTTTAGAAGTTGGTTAGTACAAATTGCATAATTTTGGGCAAATATATATAATCATCATTCTTTTTGCCGGTGACTATACCAGTGATTGTTAAAATATCCTTGATTAAAATCAATAAATCTTAAATGTAATTTAAAAAAGTTTAATCTTAATTTAATAGTACAATTAATATTCCTAATGATTAAGCATCTAATCGTCTTTGCACATTATAATTTATCGATGCTGTAATATGAATCTATCTATTAAACGTGTTTTGTGTAAAACAATCGATACATAAGTAATGATTTATACCTTCCAAAAAAGTTTAATGGCCACTGATAAATGAACTAATAATTTGCTTACGTAAAAGAATTAATATTTAAGGTGAGTGTTGTCGTTTATAGTCTCAGTCCAACTCAAACCACGTGATAATTGACATCACTTTGGTTTTTACCGTTCTGTTACGTAATTGCCGTCCCAAATAGTTAAGCAGCAATTGTAGTCACGTTGTTGAAGGTCTTGTCGACAAAGAACTTAAGAAATTATTTTGTGTTATGCAGGAATCAAGATCATCAGTCACTTCACATTTACTTCTTCGGGTTGACTGATAGAAACTTGCTGGAAATGTGAGTGTTCAAAAAGACAGACTGCATGCATCAAGATATCTTTGAATATATCTTCACTCTGCGACATCGAGAGAAATAATTTATACTTTCTTGTAATACTCACATGTCATTAGTATTATGTAAAGACAATTAAACACATTATTGTCCGATGAATTATCAATTCAATTTTTTACTTGTAATCTAAATTACAGATAGGCAAATGATTCCATTTGTAAAAACTCATGATAGCATAAAGGTGTTTGAGTGGCGGGCATTGCATAAGAACAAAAAAAATTTTTAATAAAAGGATGGTTGAAGAGGCTGAACAGATTTTCACTATGTATATGGAAATGATCTTTTTCACTAGATATGTAAAAGTATTCTATATTCGTTACGTATTACGTAAAAAGATGAAAATTTCTTTATTTACACACAAGTATTACGTATTATAGATTCATGTAACGAAATTCAAAAAACTAAAAGATAGAGCTCAATACAGTGATAATTTATATTAAAATTTTACAAGGAATCTCAAATATAATGTACAAATAAAAATTGCCTAAAAGTTTATATCGCATTAATTAAAAAAACATTATTAATATTAGATTGATTTGAAATGTTAAAAAATATACTGTATTTGTATATCTGTAGTGTGCTAACTATGTGAATGAGTTGAAAAAAATTTCATAACTCTGGATGGAGAAATTTGAATGCTTCCTTAGGATGCAGTCAAAGGATCTTTACACCCTTTCTCCAACTTGGTCCTTTCTCCTTTATGCTTCTTGCGTTTAAAAGATTTTATCCGACTGTTTCTTTTCAGACTTGCCTCACTGGTAACGGTCTCTCTAAATAAAATTTTATTAGCTTTTCTGAAAGACTTTATTTAAAAACACGAATTATAAATAATATCCATTGTAATTCAAATTCCTAAATATCATTTTTCCGAAAGAATATAATCCTGATAAAGTTATCCGGCGTTAGTTATAATGCTGGTTGATTTAATCAGGATCATTTCTTTTCGGAAAATGTCTTTTGGGAAAAATCATATAATAAATCAAGATTACAGATGCGTACTTATTATTTATTTA